ACATTACTGCTCCAACTTTCAGAAAATATAGATGAGAGAACTCAGTATGGTGTATCTGTAGTAAATGCATCTCCTGAATATATTAGAAATAACACAGAATTTTTCAGGCAGGACTGAAGTGTCACTGGAGAGAGTCAACATGAAACTTATAGCCATTAAACTACTGCATTTTATAGTTACTAATGCCAACTAACACTTCCATCTGGTTTAACTGATTTGATGAAGTCAGATTCTGGCAGCGTGAGCAGAGGACAAATAAAGGTCGAGTATTGGTACTAAGTGACTCACTTTGAAACAATGCTGTTGAGTTCATAATTCAAGTAATTGAAGTAATGAATGGGATGTGATCAAGCTTGCTGACTAGATCAATAGAAGTGTGGTTTTACATATACAGTGAGTCAGATGATGCAGCCTAATGGAATACAGCATTCCAGGGATGTTGAAAACAGCGCAGTTGAAACTTGCTAGTGAATGGTTCAACAGAACACAAAAATCATTAGCAACTTTGAAAGAGCTTAGGTGGGGTATTATAGAAAGCTGAAAAAATTGAGCTGATCTCATACTGTAATGAATATGGTTATCTATGTGCACAATTATTTTTATCATAAACTCAGAAATAATGATAGAAACATCTATTGTGCCCGAAAGTGTAATTTGGTCATAATCTCACCTGTGATCTCTCAATAGACCACATCTTCAGTTTGCGTGTATATCTCTGAAAAGAGCTGGGAATATTTTAAGATTGTGTTGGAGAATTGCCAGTACTCTTTGGATAAGTTATTTTAAGTTAGCTGTATTTGCTATCAACTTTTTAGTCTGTTACTCCTAGCCAGATTTTTTTCTAAAGCTTTCTAGCTTTGATTACCATGTACCAGATTTCATTGCACTTTTTGTGCCTTAAGAAAACAAAACAAAACCAAAAAAAAAAAAAAAAAAAAAAAAAACACAAAACCTTCTCTAGTCATGAAGGTAATATCTAGATCAGAAGCAAGTGAATGATTAGGCTTCTGGGTAATGTCTGCACCTAGTCAGGTACAACCATGTGGTTAGAACATGCTCCTGATGATCTTGAAATCCTGTAACATAACCTGATAATACTTATCACAGTTAAATGACTTTTGAAGGAAACTTCCCTAGCAATTTGCTGTCTTCCTTCTTCCTCATCTTTTGTTCTCCACTACAGCTATAAGAAAAAAATAAAGGCTTTGTGTATTTTCTGGTGCTCATTGTTTTGGAATCTGTCTCAATCGACGTAAAAGTTCTTGTTTTCTTATCAAGGTTCATTGTATAACTATTTTAAAAAAGTAAAGTAAATGCATTTCCAGGGTGTGCCTCAATTTGGTATGTATCTGAGGAGCATAAAAAAGGTCCAACTCCATCTGCGTCTTCAGATTCTCTTTTTAAAAAAATAGCGCAGTGCAAGATTGTATTTTACCTGCATCAGTTTCTTACTCTTATATGTATAAAGAGCTTCAAATATCAACTAGCTTTTAGGCAGTCCATTATGACAGTAATGTAATAGCAGCCAAATTTAATTCAGGTTATTTGATGTCTTCATTTTTCTCATTTTAAAGTATTAGTGCCTTCAGTTGTAGGTTCATGTACCATGGGTGTACCCCAAAATTGTATTCAGTTACTGTGCCTAAAGTTCATAATCTATTTTCAAATGACTTACTCATGAAGTAGATTAATTTAGTTTCTATAGGTAGAAAGCAATATACAATCTTGGTTTTTTAATGATATTAATGTCTGTAGTCTAAATGCACTCCATATTTCTGTATCATACTTGACAGGTCCTCCCAATAAGAACTCACTGCATATAATGCCATGCCTCACCTAATCTACAGTCTTTGAAAGGATTGATTTTTGAAAATAGGTTGTTATTAAAACTTACAAGATCAGAAGCTGGCAATACAGAAGGATGGGTGAATGAAACGGAGAGAGCAAACTAGAATCAAGGATGCTTTTCTGGGAGAGGAATTATGAGCTGAAGACCTCCTTTCACACATATGCAACCTATATTAGTATCAAATGGCATCATTTTTCAAAATGAGGATTGTATTCATGAGATATTACTTAGCTAGTATAGTCAAGAAATCTGTTCAGCTCTTCATACATTTATTGTGAGGTGTATTGTTATGGTTCTTTAACCTTAAATTTGTGTAGATGGCAAAAATAGGAGAGGAATGGCTTTTTAAATTCTCTACTAAAAACTTAGTAATCCAGAAAATTACTTGAATCTTCTGTGAAAGCTAGTGATAATATGCAATGAGAATGTTTGTTGTATTGTACAGTGCTCACTGTATAGTTATGGCTATCAGCACAGCATTCCTTTCTGCCCACTCCCATTACACTATAAGAACAAAAGAACAATTGTGCCGGGACAGAGCCTACCTAACTCAGCATCCTGTCCTTGGCAAATGCTAAAAGACAATACCTAAAATAAATAAATAAATAAATAAATAAATAAATAAATAAATAAATAAAGTACTATAACTGGTTTGTTTTTGTTTTTGTTTTTTGTTTTTTTGCAAAGTATTCTCATAGGCTTCCAGAGTAAGTGACACTGACTTTGTATTTAGTAACCCATTGTGGATTTCTCTATCTAGAAAATTTGCAGAGTTGCCCTGTAGAATGACCTTAATACACTGGCTAGGTATTGTAACAGCACGTAAAATCTCACCCCCATCATATGTCTTTATACTGAATTTTAACTTCAGTTGCAAGATACTGAGTGCTAATATGTCCTAATACCTGCTGCTGGGTGCTATGCAAGGGTCATGCCCGAAAAATTGTAGAGACTAACTGGCTATTGACATGGCACTGATGTAGCATGTGAACTGAGTTTTTAGTCATGCTCACTACATAATGCCAGCAGTACCTTAAGCAAGGTAATCAATAATCAAGAATTTTCTTATCTAGCCCAGTCTCCAAAGAAGGGATGTGTGTAATAAGATTGGCTTCAGAAGGTGTTTTTCAGTATGTGCTACTGTAAATACAAGGTAAGTGACAAGATCTGCATGCACAATATTAAAATTTCAAAACAGCCCTTTGTTGCCGGTATAGCTTTGTGATTGTGTGTGGAGTTCAAAAGCAAGTTCACTCCTGAAGATAATAATTTTATTGTGGGAATTTCAGTGTACCTTAAGAACATAATTATTATTCCTTATCTTCATCTATATCAAAGTGGTTTTCTAGATAACTGTACCTGTGCTGCAGGATGCCTTAAAGCTGAGGTCTAAGACTTTGCATTTCACTTAACTTCGGGGGGGGGGGGGGGGGGGGGAACTTGAAGAAAGCCTGAGGATACATTTGATGCTTGTGTGATGGTAGATTGCTACAGAACAGCAGCAGTTGTTTTGCATCTTGATGTAGCATCTTGATAGATACAGGATGACTATATACCTTTGAAAATGTGGAAGATGGGAAGTCATTTTTAAAATGTATAAATAAACCTGACTCCCATCATAGCATACTATCTGTCCATGAGGAAAAAAAAAAAAATATATATATATAGATAGATAGATATATTATATCTGCTATGGAGAGAGGGGAGGAAAACAACAACAACTCAGCTCTGCATCATGCAGCTTTTATTCCATTGTTTGCCCTGGAGTATATCCTTAGAGATAAACTACAGAATGAACTGTGTTCATATCTTTTAGGTTAAGAGCACCATAATGCAGAATGCTTCCTTATGTCATGTAAACAGAAGCATAAAGCATTTTTTTAAATGTAGTACTACAGCATATTGTTATTTAGAATTACCATGTACATGCTTGCTACTATTATTAAAAGAGATAAATCCAGATCTAGCAGTCTTTTGGGTCTTCTTTATAAGTTCTGACTACACAAAGGCTCCAGAATTTTTCTGTCTTGGCATTGGTAACTCAGTGAACCTTGCACACTGTGAAAGTTTAGGAGAATGCTGCCAGAAAGAGAGGCACTCCTAAAGTGACCATGGGGCTATGGGAAACGATGTGCTAAAGGTATAGCCAGGTACACCAATTCGGAATGATGTTCTTCATCTTCCATGAACAGTTGAAATTCTGTAAGGCAGAGTGAATCACACTGACTTGTGCTGGTACAAATTTGGTGGTCTCGTTTGCCCTAGCATATAAAATATATGCCTAATTAAAGTCTATAGTTCTTTAAGCTTCTGCAGGATGCTTTTCCTAACCGTTTGGCTTTGATGGAGGTGTTGATTAATCAACATGAAGACCCCATAAAGACCATCTACCCTATTCTGGGTGCATTGGTCCCTGAGTAAGCTTGGTGTTTGACTGTAGATAATCTTGGCAGCCGTACCCTTGATCAAAACCAGTAAGATGTAGGTGAGGATTGAGGACTGCGAACAGTCGCAGGGGGGATGTCTGAGTGCCAGGGGGCAGCAGGCAGGGGGGCACTGCCCTTCTTTGGGGCTTTCTGCACCATTTCACCTCAGCCTGAGGTACACACAGCGGCCGGCCCCTGTGGAGCTGTAGGACTCTGTGATATGAGACTCGAGTGTCTGATTCTGTGATATGGGACTGAAGTGTGACCCTGTGCCATGCATGTATCACACTGTATGACTCTGTGGGACGCCTCGGGGAGCAGCCGGCGGGTGTGTGCCGGGCACTGCCGCGGCTCAGCCTCCTGCCGCCCTTTATTCCCCCGCAGATATCCGAGGCGGCGCAAGGCTCCGCCCAGCGGCCGGGGCAGATTCCTGTCGCATTCCTCTTGCGCACACGCTATTTCACCGCCCTCTGCGCCTGCGTTTGTGCCTGTACGTGTCAGGCCGCCGGCAGGGGCAGGACCCGGACCCAGCCCCGTCCCCGCCGCCTCCCTCAGGCGGACAACGGCGCCCAACGCCCCCCACCCCGCCCCCCCCCCAACACACGGCAGCCTCCAGGCGCATGCGCACCCCCCCTCTCCCGGCGGAGCGGGGCGGGCCCCCTGGCGCCTGCGCGGCAGCGCCGCGTCCACCCGCTGCCTGCGCGCATGCGCAGCGGCGAGGGGCGGCGGGGCCGTGCGAGGGAGGCGGTGGCTGCTGCTTCCTCCCCCCCCCCCCGTCCTCCTCCTCCTCCTCCTCCGCCCTCGCCACTCGGCGCCTGGGGCCGGGCCGCGCTCGCCGGGGGCGGCGGGATGATGATGGCGTACTTCGCCGAGAGCTTCTGGGTACGGCGGCGGCGGCGGGGGGCGCGGGGTGCCGCGGGGGTGCCCCCCTCAGGCTGTGTGTGAGGCGGGGGGGGGCCGGTGCCGGTGTGGGGGGGTGCAGGGGGGGGGGACGGGCATGGGGAGCGGCGATCCGGGGCCGGCGGCGATCCCGGGGCTCGTTTCCGAGCCGGGCAGGACGGGTGCGGGTCGCTGCGGCGGCGTTGGGGCTCGCTGTGCTGCCTCCGTGCGCTGCCTGCCCGGCGGGCGAGCTCCCCGGGACACGCACACACACACACACACACAGACACACACGGACACACCAAAAAAAGAGGGAGAAAATACCTCAGTCCTCGCCGTCTTCCTGCTCCCGCACAAACAATGGTGATCCCTAGCGCCCAGGGAAGGCTGCTTTCCCAAATGCGACACGCTGCTACTCCAGGGCGTAAGCCCTGCTTTCGTGTTTTGTCTGCAGCCTTGCTGCCTTTTTTTTTTTTTTTTTTCTTGCTTTCTTGCTTTCTCCTTCGCTTTGGCTCTTTTTTGTTGTTGTTTTCGACAGAACGGTAAAATCGGGTGAAAGGAGCCCCGGTTTGCTCCTCGCGTGGCGTGTGGAGAGGCTGAAGTTCTGCCATGGGAGACGAGTATTAAACTAACACCCGAAACCCTTTCATCTTTAAAAATAAATAAATAAATGTTTTAAGTTAACGTAAAAAGTCAAATTTTCATTTCAAACCTGGTATCTCCTCCTACAATTAAACTGAAATACAAGCTTTTATCCAGCAACCTCAACTGAAATAAAATGTTTTTTTTCCATTTCACTGCGTTAAGTACTATAACTTTAACTTTTTAAACTTTTGGCTGCGTGCTTATCTCTGGCTAATTTCGGTAGTAAGTCAGTAATTTTGTTAAATCGATGGAGATAGAGGGCCATTCTTATATGTTGTTTCCCTCTGTGCCTACAAAAGTGCTACCAGCAAATACGAGGCAGTGGACGTCTACCCAACACTTTCCATTCCCCCTTTGTGCCCTGCAAAGTCCCTGTCTTACAGCTTGCAGGCCAAACTCCAGCCGTGGGTTTAGAAACGGGTGCCAAGAAAAGGAGTTTTTCTTCTGTTGGCGCAGGTATTTTTTTCCTGCCTCCAAAAATGACGTCGAGTAGGACAGGAAGCATGTTCTTCTCACTTGTCTTGCAGTGGTGGCAATGACAGTAGACAGGGTCTTAAACTGGCAAAATTTGATGAGAAACCTTTGTAATACCATGGACAGAGTTTTGTTTTGTGTAAAAGTAAAATACAAAGTGATGAGGATGGCTGCCTCCTTGCTGATGTGGGCAAATATCTTTCTAGAAAAACTGTAGTGGCTACACATATAATTTTTAACATCAGAAGGTATGTCCTCAAAAAAAAGCGTAGGTTTTTGCGTTTTGAGTGATGAGGCTTGTCCAGCTTTTCAGAATGGGTTATTGTTCAGAACTGTTACCACAAGGCTTTGGAGGATTCAGGGTACCATCTATATCTGCTTTGAAATGTGGGGAGAAGGCTGAGATGGAAATTAGAAGATTGCTGTTGAAATTCACTGACCGTGTGATGACTAAAAATAATGAAGATAAATCTGTAAATTGAAAGAAAAGTGGTATTGCGTTGAGCTTTGGAAGAAGTGTCGTCTATTTCTTGCTTTTGCCATCGCCTTCTAGGTAACACAGGGCACAATATTTTACTTTTCTGTTCGTCCTTTCTGTCCTGTTCGTCACCTATGGAATGGGGTTAATTATACTTCCTAAAGCGCTGATGTGGAGTAAATCCAAAACATTATAATTAATACTTAATTGCATTATGTACATGCTGCCATCGATTCGCAGCTGAAATGGCACATTGGAAATGGAACTCTGGGTCTTGTGCTTTGGAAGACCCCCTCCCAGCTTCATAACCTGCAATAATTGGTAGGGAAAGGCCTAAGAAACTTGAGGGTTTTACATGATTTCTTTGGTAAAGAGGGGTGGCATGAATATATGTGCGCTTCTTACATACTGTTTAGGCTGCTGTGTTCTAAGAAGTTCCTATTGGTGTTCTTCTGTAGATGAAACAAATTTTGGCTTCTTTACTGTAATAGCCTTGAAGCTTATTAGGCTTCCACATTGTACGCCTTTTAAAAGAAACTGGATAGTTGGATTTTTTATTTTTTTTTTGGTAGGGAATGTAAGAAAAAATTACTTTCTCTGTGGTATTTTTGGGCCTGTCATTTGTTGACTGCTTCTAAGAGGTCATTACAAGATTATTTTCAGGACATGAAGTTGAAGTTTAGAGGCCTGTACTGTCACTTGGAAAACGTAGGGGTATGCTGGTAGAGTGTGGTGCTCCTGAGCTTTTCAAAGTCAGTATCGTATAGGTTTGTTTTTTGTGTGTGTGTGTGATTTATTGGTGTGTTTGTTGGTTGTTTTTTTTTCATTTGTTTGTGGTATCAGAAATTATGAACAAGTAATGCAGACTATAAATGGCTTTGATTCTTATGACTGAGTTTCAGGCATTCAAGTCACATGGCCAAACATTCCCCTCTCCTAATTAGGATGTTGTCATAAAACTTGGGTGCTCGCTGCTATGTATGTGCTATATCAAAACAATGATGTAATTTAAAGGGAACACTTTCCTAAGTTATTTCCATTATAAATAATTAGGTTTTGTCACTTTGAATACACTCATGCCAGTACAGTAGAAAAAAATAGCATTCATTATCATTACTTACTGTTTTCCTAGCACTGCTTAGGAAGCGTTGCATAAGCTTTGACATAAGTTTGGTTTTAAATTGCCTGGTGCAAGCGATACCCCCATTAATTGTAAGTCTATTAAACTGTTTCAAGTCAACCAAAATAAGCCACTTCTAAGCCAGTTGGTATACATCTGTAAATTGTTTTAGATTAATTTGATTAAACTGATTGAAGTTTTATGCATAGCTGAAACTGGTCTCTGCAGTGGTGCGTGTGTTAAGCGTTGGAGAAGTTCTGTGGCATAAAAATGCACGTTTAAGTCAGCTTTGACAATTTCTTTCTGTTTTATCTTTTTAATTGCTTATGGTACATGTAGCCTTTGAGAAGGGCTGCGAAGAAGGTTCCTTTCTTCTCAGGGACTTTTGCAACATGTAAGGGCTGGCTGTATCCGGGGCTGGTAATCTCAGCTTTGTGAAGAGGCTTGCTCTAATAAATGTAAGACATATTCTCTTACGCATTTACGGGCTATGATTGACACTGAGACTTGTCGCGCTTCCATCTGGAGGCCCATTCATATGTTTATGCAGTACTACTCTTCAGCTTGGCGTGCAGATGGATGCTCAGTTTTCAGGAGAGCTGTTGTGCAATGTTTGTTCAGTCCCCTCCCTCTTCGTGTACTTGTTTAGCATGAGTTGGCAATTTTCCATCTTCTTGTCCCCCAAATATTTTTTATTACCTAGATGTAGAGGAAAAAACATCCTTCCTCCATTGTATGCCTGGAGCTTCTGTGGAGCTGATCTGTATTTAATTTACTGAAACTGGAAGAATGAAATTTATATTTCCAGGTTGCTTTGTGTTCAAACTTCTCAAAACTTTCAGAACGGAGGAAGATACTTTGCCTGTCTAAACGTCAGGTGACTACTTTTTGGGTGTTGCCATGCACTCAGTTCTTTGTAGCTCTTTCAGACACTCAGGGATCCAAAATTACAGCTTTCAGAAGTGTAACACCATCACATGCATCAGAGGAGTATTTTCGTGTAGACTATGTCCACTAGATTAAGCAGTTGCCTTAGTGGAATGCAGGAAACATTACTTACTTGCAACTGCAGTAAGCAGTAACTGATTAAACAAAAGGGCAACAATGTATATCAGAGCATCTAAAATTCATTTAAATTTACCTGAGGTTAGCTGGACTTCTGTAGCTTTATTTCTTTAAAGTCATACTTCCTTATGAGTTCACAAAAAGAATTCCACAGTACAAATGGACAAGCCATAGCAAACAGTGTACATCTAAGTTTGTGGATAAAGAGCAAGGTTTTTTTGGTTAATTTTTTCATTTTAGGGTGAGGGGAATGAACAGACAGTCTCTGATGCACTAAAATATGTAAATTAGTTGTTAAAATAAAGTATTTTGTAACCTGTTTAACTTGTATCTTATGGCTGAAAGGTTGTAAAAGTTGTGTCTAGTTCCAGCTAATGCTTTATTTCACCCCCGTTGAGGGAGTTGTGTTTCTCCCTGCGCTCAGTTATGGGAATGTCTACAATTTTTATTTGGCCTATCAGTGCAACTCTGAGACGTTGATACAGAAACATTTTTTCTTCCAAAAAGGCTTATAAATTGTTAAGATTTATCCTTGCTAGGGGTTTTATATGCATACTCTTACATTCAGGGGTGTGGTTTTCTTACGTTTGCATCTGATAGTAGTATGGGCAGTACTTTTAAGCGTAAATGTAGCTGTAGGACAGCTTCTCTAGAGCTGACCCGTAGAAGAGGCAAAGAATACAAACTTTCCTATTTTCACCACCAAAACTGAAGCAAGTGACTCTGTTTTCCATATTAATTATTTTCTAGTCTTTTCCTATTTAGTATTTATCTAGCAAGAGAATTTCTTTCTGGTTAGGTGTTGTTGATATTGCCTGTTTGCCATAGACGGTTGTAAGGCTTAACTTAATTCGGAGATTATCCAGTTTTCATTTTTAGACAATTTGGAGTAGAGACCTAAAATTCTTAGGGCTAAAAAGAAAACCTGTCTTTAAGTTGAAGAAGCACTTCTAAATGTTGTGGTTTGAATATATGTCTGTTTCCTGGAGAATAAGCTGCAGGCTTGATAGACTATTAAAAAAATAAAAAAGGAAGTCAACAGACTATGATTTAAATTAATGAATTAAAGTCAAAAGTATAGCTTTCTTATTCTGTTCTATTCCTTCTGTGTAATGCAATATTGCGATCATGTGTAAAAGTTTGAACAGGGGGTTGAAGGATTATCATGCATACTCAGCCACTACTCACATGTGGTACAAAAGCATAGGCTAAAAGGATGGTAATTCACTTATTGTCAAATGTTTCTTTACTTGCCAAACTTAGTTGGAAAAAGTTAAACTTTGGCTGAATCTCTCATCAAGCGTCTAAAGTCTGACCAAAATCAAAAACTACTGCATGTGCCTTTTGTTGACTTGTCCACTGAGTTTTGCAGCGAAAGCAGCATTTGCAGCTGTCCTCTTCTTGCTTCTCACACTGGCCAAACCAGTAGTAAATACCTGACCAATCACGGAAACTTTAAAATCACGTCAATAGTTGGGAAGCATTTGTTTACATTAGGGAAAAGGAGCGTGCTTTAACAGAGTATTAGCTTTTTATACTAGTACGTGTTAATGTTGAACAGTTTTAGTCCAAAGCAGACAGAACTTGTGCTTAGACAAGTTGATTGGAAACATAGGAAATAAACAGTGCTAGAGATGGCCCAGAAATTTCTGGCTACTTTACAAAATGTAGATTTAGATTTGGAATTATCTCTATGTGTAGCAAACTAACTTAGTCTTTTTTTTTTTTTTTTAAGTCTGTTAAGTAGCTTAGTAAAACGGAGTTCGTGTAGTCTGTTTCCTGTTATGTACAAGTCATGGAAATGCTGAATTCTGACTTCTCCGTTGCTGACAGGGTTACTTTCATTTCCATGAGAAAACCGTTGCAGATAGTTCTCCATGGAGGGAAGTGGAATGACTGTCTACCCTCGCTTTCTGGGAGTGTTGTTTATTTTGTGTATGAAGTTGGTCCATATTCTTTATTGTGGGCTTAGGTGAGGTGCTTGCTTGAATTTTAAGTCTTACGTTTTCTGATGGCTTGCTGTCAGGAGACATTTGTGTTGTATCTGAGAAAGAGCTCTCTCTTGTGGTGGTGTAAAATGGGAAACCTCCACAAGAATCCCAGCTTCTGAAGAGAGAGTTCTGTTAGCTCTAGGGAAAAAGGAAAAACTGCTAATAAGCTTAAGTGTAATATAATGGGGTCATCCTCAACAGATGGTATTTTAACCCTGGAATGACATTCAGAATAGTTTTACAGACTGATCTGGTAGTGGGTTGCATACAACCTGGTATTTCTCCCAAGTTGCTGCTAGTAGAGGGATGTGCATCTGACTTCACGGGCAGTCTGTTATGGGAGGGGATGGTAATTGCCTCTGAGCAGGAGTGGAAGGTCTCACCAGTTCCTTCTACTGCCTGCTGCATTTGTTTATTTTTAAGACAGTTTGTATTGGGCTTTCAGTGATCCCAGCAATCACTGTTGGCATCAGGAAGGAGCACATAAAAATCATAATGAAGAATAATTGGCTATACCTACAGTTCCCATGTTTGATGCCACATCTGTGGAGGGTGTTAAGGAAAAAAAAAAAAAAACACAGAAATTAACAGTGTCGATGGTATATATGCATGTTGGGGGCAAATACTTGTATTTTTGTAAATTGAACTACATTTTTTTCTCTTAGCTTCAGCATACATCTGTATCCTAAATGCAGAGCCTTAACTGTGATGCTCTGTATGTGAGTATTAGAGCTACCCTTCTTAAAAATAACCACTAAATGGAGTGGTTATGGGTAGGCAATATAGCTTTTCCTAAGCAGAAAAACACCTGCTCTCTGCACCGAGATATCATGCTTTATTTAACATAGGTACACAAATGTCTCCCCAGGCATGAGTAGAAGATAATGTAGTTTAGAGAATTGTCCTCAGGTTAATTATCAGAACTCTTGATTATGTAACTTGTAAATAATCAAGCAGTTTCAAAGTCTAGATGTTAGTGTTTTTAGGAGGAGCCTGATACTGGTAAGATAGGCTGCACTTGGTGTTGCATTTGCAAGTGAAAACATCTTCTAGCTGCACCAGATTTAAACTGCATGGGACTACGTCACAGTGCCTGCTTTGGTCTTGCTGCTTCATTTAATCTTGAATAGACTTCTCCCTTAGCCTTGGATAACTACCTACCATATATAAAATATGTGGCATTCAGAGAGCTTCTTTCATTTGTGAAACTAACTGTTCTGTTTCTCTGTTGTTCTGTCTGCTGTTCAACAAGATGTAAGGAACAAGACGAGAACTGATTAGAAGACTTCATTTAAGTGGAAAACTAAGTTCCTTGCGTTAAACTACACTTACAATTAGGGAACAAGATGGTGATGGAAATTGTTTGGTCTGGATCATTCAGTTCTGCAAGGATTTGCGGAGTTACATTTCTGATAGACTGTCAGCACTCAGGAAGGCTGCAGCCAGAAGTAGGGTCATGGCTATGCTACCCTTCCTGTGTTTCTAAACTGGCAGGAAATCTATATAGCCTCCAGTTTAGGAAAGATTAAAAGTTACCCCGTTACGAACAGTCACACTTAAAGCAAGTAGTCTGTGTTCAGCACATTTTGGTTTGAGTTGGTTCAGGTGGGAGAAACGCATTACAGTAAAGCAAAGAAAGAACACACAATAAAGGAGAAATGTTTTATTTTTTTCTAGAAGACATGCGTAATGCTTGTTTGTGAAACCTCCAGACTGGAGCATGACAACAACTGTTAAATTAGAGTTTGTTTTTGTATACTAATTGAAAATATGAGTACCTCCTCAATTACAGAGTTACTATGGTGTTTTATATTGTGGTGGCATTCATCGGGGTTTATACTGAGTAACTACATGAAGATAATTAGGTGCCTGTTAGTGCACCTGTAATCAAAATGATCCTGAGCTTCAAACTGCAAGGAGGAATAAGTAGGAGTGCAACTGTTTGCTACTTGTATTTGCAGCTATATGGCTTCCTCAAAACTAATATGCTGGCTTGCAGTCATTTTATCAGTGTTTCTTGTTTGATTGTGGGTTTCTTTTTGGCTAGTTTTTCCCAGTGCCCAGAAGAACTAAAGCCAAAAAATCCTGACTAATAATCCGAATGAAATTGCCATTCACTCGCCTGTTCATTGTAAAGAAATGTATTTGTGTCTACATGGTGTCCTTCAAGGGAGCTTGCTGCATTAGTGCTCAGACTGAAGTGTGAGGGGACCTGCTACTGCGGCGCTGCGAGCTTCCTCCAGCCACCCACCCGCGGCTGCTGCCGCTCGCTTCTGTGTCTTGAGCAGCAGCAGAGATGTGGATCTGAAGCTTTTGGAAGGGAGGAGGGGCATGGACAGCTTCACAGGAAAACTCTAGGAGTAGCAGTGCTATTGTACCATGCCTAGCCTCGCCTTCTTTTAATTCCTATTGTTGCTTTCTCCTGTCCACAGGAAGTTCACTGTAGTGCCAAAGGCGATAAGCTGGCTCACTTTCTTAATCAGTGTTTAGGGCAGTGTCTTAATTTTAAAGGTGAGATATGTTGTAGTGATCGAAAAACATTTTAAATTTTAAAACTAGATTTAAGAATAGACAGAGGGAAATTACAAAGGGAAAAAAGAGATTCGTGATTTTTACTGATTTTACAAACAAACAAGCAACAACAACCAATCAACCAACCAAACAAAAAAGACTCATGATCTGTGAAGAACCAGACTGGTAGGAAGGCCAGTGATCTCAAAGCCTGAATTTTAGTTCATGGGAAATAATGAAAGTTAGGCGAGAATGAAGACGGTGTTCAGTATTAAGTATGTATTCACTAAGATACGAAGAAAAAAAATGCAAGAATTGTAGAAGTTGAAAAAGGAAATGTCTTTGAATGTAGCCTAAAAATATGGAAAGGAGGAGTTGTCGGTAGAATCATAGTAGAGGCTGCTGAAGGTGATTTTAGTTCGTTTTACATTAAGAGAACTAACAGTAGTTACTAAAAGCTGAACCATTAGAAATCATTCAGTTCATGAAACTTGAGCAGTTATTAAATTTTATAGGTTCTGTACTTTGTTCTGTAATTGCTTTAGCACATTGTGTTTCATGGTTTTTCTGTCTTTTTATTAATCCTTAGGGGGAAAGAAACAATGGCTTCGACGTTCTCTATCACAACATGAAGCATGGACATTTGTCAACAAAAGAATTAGCAGACTTTATTAGGGAAAGGTAAGTATTCGTCTTTGTTGATTCTGTGTCTTTAATGTACTATTTTTGGCCTTTATTTCAGTTTGCCATGTGTTGCAGTGACATGCTAAATATGTAAACATCAACGAGTGTTTCAAGATCTCTCATATCCTACAAGAATACCTAGGTTTATTCCGTTCACTTAGAACCAGATAGTGACTCTTAAGCATTAATTAATAAGCTACCAAGGTTTATTGCAGTAAAATCCATCCAAAAAGCAGCCTTTGTTTTCTGAAATTTTTCATCAGAATTTCTGTTGTGGCCTGCAATGACCTCAGCAAAATGTAACCACTGTGGTTCTGGCAGGTACTCAGTGACACTGACATTTGTATAGTTGCAAAGTGAATTGAGTGGAGAAAATGACAAGAATCTTTCCACTAAGTAGGTGAATTGCAGAGTCCCAGTGTGATACATGTAGGCAGGCTCGTCTCTGAAGGTGTATGCAAACCAGGGAATTTTATGTTTCAAGAGTCTCTGATTCCAGAAAACACATTATGAAACAAGACAGGTTTCCAGTGAAATCCTGCTTTGGAGGGATATCACACTGTTGGTGTTTAGTATGAAATGTTCAAGGCTTCTGAAACTGGTATTTACATCATCTTTAATCTAAAATACTAAATGTTTTTCATGTTGACTTAAACCACCAAAATTGGTATTTTATTTCAGAAATGCTTATCTTGACTTCATTCTGTTCCGCATCTTTGTTTATTGCAAAGTAATTAAGAGATGTTGTCCACAGTTAGCTGTTCCCCTCCTTCCTCTGCACAGATGAACATAGAATAGAATATTATTTTGCATTGCTCCTTTCTGCTGGCAATATGGAAGTGGATGAGCAAGATTCATTAAGAGCCTCCAACATTTTGTGTTTTTATGCCCTACTTGTACCTGGGCTGTACTGTTTTCTGGGTTGTTGTCTCTGAAAAACAAACCTGCATATGTTCACATTTTCTGCCTTTGGGTTCCTTTTGAACGTAGCGAGTAGTTTTATTCAAATGTGGAAACACCGGAGAGTTAAAGTTGAAAATTGCTGGATAGGTAGAGGAGACAGATCATGAGTTACTGATAATACTTCAAAAAGTTAGAGCACTTAAACATTGTATCTATGTTTGTAATGTGTTCATTTGAAAGAACACAGTGTATTTTTACTATGTATGCTGTTAAAACTGGATATTCCTGGAAGAAGCAAAAGGTTTTCCCCTTGGCTGGGTCCTGGATTTGGTGGGACACTCGAAACTACCATGGTCTGTCTGACCTCCAGACTGCTGCCTGTAGCAGCTCATCCTTGTGGGCACTCGAGTTTCCGTTCTATATGCAACTTTCTAAGCTTATTAGAGAGGGATAATTTTTCTTTGTTGATCTACCAAGTGAATTGCAATTCAGTTTTCAACAGTGTTGTTTCACCGTTTCATTTTTCTTATGGAGTACTTGATAGTAGTAAAGTTCTTACAGGACTGAGGGACAGTTAGATCTTTGGATGGCTCTTTACTACCTTTTTTTTCTGGATATGCTGCTGCTCTGAATGGCAGAGTTGCTTAGTTAGTAGTTACTGCCTTTGAGGACATTCAGAAATGTGTTTCCTGAAAGAATGAATACGTGGGGGAGCACTCTGCTCAGCACCGTTAAATCTTTGGTCGGGTGTCTTTCTTCTGAAAGGTATGTGTCTTAGCTCTATTCATGATAAAGTGCATAGACATGCTGTTTTTAAAGGAGTGAAAATGTATAAAGATTGGTTTACCCCACATTTCTTTCTTTTCTTATTTAGAAATACAGACTTTGCATACTGGGAAGATTTTGTAGGTCAACTGCGTGTTGTGTTTGTATGGATTTAACACCTAAAATGAGTATATATAATAAACTGTTCTCAACTAGGAACTGAATAGGTATTGTGTTGGCTTTTCTCTAGTAGTCTTTCAAACCTTTTTCTGCACCAGTTGTCTATAAATGGCCTAAAAAGGAACTCCTTGATCAGGAGAAACTGGCAATGCATGTATTCCAGTTCAAATGTTTAATAGATCCCAACCTAAGACATTTTCACATAAGTAAAATCTAATTTAACCAGGCATTTATAGTATAGTAGAGACTTCACAGTGCTCTGGGAAGTCAGTTGATACAACAAGCGAAGATAAATGTGCCCAGCCAGTCAGCAGCACCTTTTGTTTTTTATTGTTTGTAACTGTTGTATGCTGATAAAATGTGTAGCAAGTTTCATAACTTCAGGGTTGTGAAGATCGTTCATTAAAGTATTCTGTAAATTGTTCCGAAGAAAAGAGCTGTGGATTTTGGTCAAAAAGCACGTTTCTTTTTGTTTGTTTGTTTGTTTGTTTGTTTGTTTTTAAGTGTGGAGCTATTAAATCTAGAAAAAAATGACAGTATCTTCAAAATTTCAAATGTGTTTTTGGTTGCTTTCTTTGACAGGGCTACAATAGAGGAAGCTTACTCAAGGTCAATGACAAAACTAGCTAAATCAGCGAGCAATTACACACAACTTGGGTAAGTAAGTGTGCACAAGAGAGAAATAATTAACTACATACATGTTAAGAAGCCAGTTTGCTCCTGAATATTTTATTGGCGATCTTGAAAGTAGCATAACTTTTAACTTTTTAAAGTAGCCACCTTTAAAAATGATTGTTAGTCCTTCAGCTAGTATGCAACCATAAAAAACGTGCAGATAAGACAAAAATAAAAGGCTGTATAGTTCTTTATTTAGATATTAAAAAAACAGCCACACAACAACACAACCAAACATGAGGAGGGCTGTTTGTTCCTCTGTATTTCAGATTGAGTTCTTTTCAGACAAAATAGCGTGACTTTCTATTAAATGCTCTCAAACCTAATCGTTCTGAGTAGAGAAGATATTGTCTACAAATGTGGCAGTGAATTTATTTCTGTTTCTAGCTGTGGTTACTGCAAATAAAATAAAGGCCTTTAGCCTCATGTAAGAAGTCTGAGCTGTAGGCATAATCTTTCTAACAAAAAAAATCCATTAATCATTCCATTTTTTAATACATACCTCAAAAATAAATTAATGAAATTACGGAATGAATCTATTGAAAAGTCACATTCTTAACATCTCTGAGGATAGAGTTAACACTTCAGAAAACAGAAGTACAGAGAGCTTTTATCAGTAGATTTAGCCCTATTACAGTATGCACATAAAAATTCTTATGTTAAATATTTAAGCTATTCTTGCATCATCTATAATGATGAATAAACTTTTATATTTTGAGTAAACTTTTATATTTTACCTGTGTTGATTCTAAAACAGCAAAAACTGAAAAGTTAGCATATAGTACATTTGAAAACCCCATAAATAATAAAGTTATTTATAACATAGCAGTTGGTGGGGTTTTGTATGTTTGCTTCAGTTTAGGAGCACAGCTTAACTTCTGTAAACATTGATACATTAGCACTATTTAAAAAAAGTTAGCTGATTGAAAGGAAAAAAATCCAGATGAACATTACTTTTTTTTTTTTTCACCCCCCCCTCAATCCAGAACATTTGCACCAGTTTGGGATGTTTTCAAAACCTCAACAGAAAAACTAGCAAGCTGCCACTTGGATCTTGTGCGGAGATTACAAGAGCTAATAAAAGAAGTTCACAAGTATGGAGATGAACAAATTAAAGCTTATAAAAAGGTTGTTTTTTTTCTTATGTGTGTCCAGTGACTTGTTAGTATTAAAGTTCAGAAAGTTGGATTTTGATGACTATGTGATATTTGGCAGACTAAAGAAGAAGTTTCAGGAACATTGGAAGCAATGCAAAGCATTCAAAGTATCACTCAGGCCTTACAGAAGTCCAAGGAAAACTACAATGCAAAGTGTCTTGAACAAGAACGTTTGAAAAAGGAAGGAGCAACACCAAGAGAAATCGATAAGGTAATTCTGTGACATCTTAAAATTAATTGTTGTCAAGGTGTAACACATTCACATTGTATTAGTGAAATGCTCAGAAAGGGCTAAAAGCAGTAAACCATAGCTATTTTATAATGTACATGATCCTTTGAATGCCTAGCTAGGTTTTGTTTACACTTACTTCCTTATCTGTCCTCTCTAACTGCACCGCAGTTCTAATTATACTGTATTACTGCCTCATATGGTAACTTAGTTTAGTGGCTTTTACAGAGATTTCATATAATTGTTTCAGCATCTACTACGTTTTTGATGCATTTTCTTATGTAAATATTCAAACACTCAATGCCGTCTTTGAATTAAGTAGTAGGGAGTTTTTTACATTGTCCTTTCAACTGAGACAAAGTAGTTAATCACGAGAGTATTTGAAGTCTGTTCCATTGAAAAGAAAAACAAGCTAACATTACTTTCAAAGCTAATTTAGGAGCTTTGAATTACATGGATCAAAATCCCTAGGGATGAGTGTCTTGATGCTGTATTTAGTACTGTCCTTGGGTCATGGGAGAGTTTGATCCATTCACAGAATCATTAAGTGGCTGAGGCTGGAAGGGACCTCTGGAGACTATCTGGACCACTAGACCTCTGCTCAGAGACACAGACAGGACCCTAGGTCCATGTCCAAGTGGCTTTTGATGATCTCCAAGGAGGGCGACTCCACAGCCTCTCTGGACAACCTGCGCCAGTGCATAATAAAGCAGTGTTTCCTGATGTTCAGATAGAACCTCCTGTCTTTCAGTTTGTGCCCATGGCCTTTTGTCCTGCCACTGGGCTGCACTGAAAAGAGCCTGGCCCTGTCCTCTACATCTTCTCTTCAGATATTTGTAGGCATGGATAGATAAGATCACCCCATGCTTCCTTTTCTTCAGGCTGAACAGACCCAGCACTCTCAGCCTTTCATAATAGGGGAGGTGCTTTGATCCCTTCATCTCTGTGGGCCTTTGCTGCATTCTCTCCAGTGTACCTGTGTCCATCTAGCAGTTGGAGAATCCAGCACTGGACATAGTGCTATAAGTGTGGCCTCACCAGGGCTGAGTAGAGGGGAAGGATCACCTACATCAACCTGCTGGGAAAACTGAAACTTTCTCTTGATTTCAGGAAACAAAGTAGAGGGAAGTGGTTATGTTTCCCTGTCTCTATACTTTCTCTCTGCCTATTTCTTTTGCGGTTATCTGGTCTGTTCGTGTTAAAGTGGTCCTAGTACCTTTTTTCTGTAATCTTGGTGGAGCAGATAGGGTTGGTTCATTGATGACAACAGTGATCCTGTTGACAATATTCTGATTATTTTATTATTAATTTAAACCTGTTTCCCCCGATTTGTATTTCAAATAGCAATCCGTGTTGGATTCTAGATATGAATCAAAAATATGTGGGACAGCATATGTTTTCTTGCCAGTATATTCAAAATACATTTATTTTTCTGAACTTCTGAAAGTAGTTCTAAACTTTTCAGTAAGAGAAGTTGACATGATGGAAGGCTTAGTTTAAGATATAATCCATAATCCCTCCTCTGGTCAGAAACAAACAAAAAAAAATCAGTTTTACCAATAGCTCTGTCACTGCAGAAGGAAGAGAGGAAACACTGCAGGACGAGGGCCATTTTCTGATTTTTTATGCATCTTTCCTTACATAATTTTGTCCAAACAGTAGAGCAGCATGGTTGATACTCAGCTAGTACTTCAAAAATGTTTCTGGTGGGAGCTAGTAACTATGACTATCACATCCCTTCCATCATGTCTTTATTAAAATTTACATTTGTACTGTTAGAATCATGATGCAGATTGTTTTCGTATATTTTTCTTTTGGCAGAGAGTACTTTTGTTATGTTTAGCGGAACATCAAAGGTGTTTTTCTAAAAATCACACAATACCTACTGTATCACAAGACAGAGGATCTGTGCCAGTATGCTAAGAGCTTATCATTAAGTTTAGTATTTTGAGAGGTAATTTATCAAAGAATCTGAGGAGGCATGAAAGCTTTCAATTTTAATTGCAGCTGATAGTTAGTGTTAACTTGTGTAATAACTTCCTGTTTTTCTGACATGGTAACTTCTGTATTTATAGTGACTTGACAAAAAAACTCTTGACTAATCTTTATTATTTCAGTTACTGTAAAACTGCTAAGTAGAGCTCTAGCAATTGCTGTACCTGAGAATAGACACATCCTGTTTTCAGAAGAGATTAGTAGCTAATCATGCAATGTTCATGTTCCATCATTGTCTGTCCTGCTGTTTGTTTTCTGTATACAGCAGACAACACTCATGATTCTGCTCGTAGTTAAACATGATGACAAGAGGCAGAGAACATTTTGTTTATGTCAAAATCCCATACATGCAGGGTTCGGTTACATGATCCTTCACAAAAGAAACTTATTTTTGAAGTCTTTTAATTTGGCATTTCCTTTTGTTTCAAATGATCAAGTTCAAAATCCTCTCATTTCAAAGCAATCATAATTATTTTTAAAACCAGGTGTTTATAGAGCATCTTGTACTTTCAATAAAGTAAAGCATATTTGGGAAACAAGATAGGACAGTTTTCTTCTTGGGAATTCCCTATGTGAATATGCAGGAGAAAGAATCATGAAACAAAATTCAGGGCAAGTTGTAGGTCAGTCTGATACATCCTGTCATGCTGTCCTTAATGCCTGAAGGATCCATATTTTTTGTACAGTAAAGTAGTCTCATGCTCTGTTGTGCTGGGTTTAGAGTACTACATGAGCAAGGTCTGCTTAAGCTTTCTCAGTAAGTTGATAAATTGAACTGCACCTTCAATTCCTCATCCTTTGAAGTCCTGTTTGATGTTCCCCCAATAAACAAGTGCTAATGGTATATTGCTACTCATGATTTTGGGTTATTTTTTCTTGGAAGAGGAAGAATAAAATTATCTACTTCCAGAGGGCATCTCTGTATTAATTGATTTGAACGTTATAGATAGTGGTCAGCTTTACAACTACCGCAAGTGAGTAGTAGTTGCTGTCTTTAATCTGGGACTGATAAAATCCCTTTGAAAGAGGAAAGGAAAGCTCTTCAGAACTAGAATAGTAAACATTCTATCTTTACTCATGTCACTAACTGACTATTTCTGAATTGTTACAACTCGTGGGAAATTTCATTCAGATAAAGTAGGTATTTTGAACTTCTTTGGCAGAAAAAAAGCTGATGAGAAATAACTTTTTTTTTTTTTTACTTGCATATAGCAAAAATATTAAAGTTCAAAAAACCTAATCTCCTGTCATGCTGTAAAATTTGAAAATAACTTCCCTACCAAAAATAATAGCTTCATTCAATTTTTTTCCATGTCATATTGAGATTCTCCTATATTTCTTTTTATCTTTTAAGAATATCAAGTCCACAGAAAGAAAACTTTGGTGTATTGTAAACAAATAATGAAAAAAAATCATTATAATGCTAAAAAGTATTATTAGAAACAAACCTGAGCAGCATGAAGCTGTCCATCACTTTGTTCTGCATTAACTTCACTTTCAAATATCTTCTTACTCAGTTTTCATTATTTTTTCCACATTCCTTATTTTTTTTCACTTCTAACAAGTGCCTTCTTGTTTTATTTTTTTTACCATTGACTCTTTCAGAATTGCACTAAGAACTGTACTCTGAATTTCAACCCTGCTTTTTTCCTGTTTTTTTTGTTGTTGTTGTATATCTAAATATTTTATGTATCAGTGAAATAGCTTAATTTCAGCAACACATACTTTAAAATGTTGATCTCAAAACAAGCGTATTATAAATTAGTCATTGATGATAAGAGGAAGGAATTTAAATGAGGTAGTTGCTTTGTTACCTTTTATACGTGACCTATGCTAAGCAGCATAATGATTTTATGCAGAAATCTCGAACAGTTTGAGTCTAAGTTATTTGGTGGTAAAATTTTGTTATGACACTTTACTGTTTTGATATGCCCCTGAATCTTTTTTATACATCATCCTATGCTTTCTCTCAATAGTGGCTTTAAAAGCCTTAGATATGATTGAATTGACACTTTTTGTACTGATCCACAGGCAGCAGTTAAATCAAAAAAAGCTACAGATACCTATAAACTGTATGTGGAGAAATATGCTACAGTTAAATCTGATTTTGAGCAGAAAATGACAGAAACTGCACAGGTAAGTGTTATATTCAATAAGACACTTTTAAAATAAATTAATATGTTTTCTTTATCTCTCTTTGGAAATTGATGTAAACTGTTCTGTCAAAAGTAATAAGTTTGAAAGACAAACTATGGCCACGTGTATTGTGATGGCAGTGCCCTTGAATAACACTGAAATACTAACACTCCAGAAAGACATTTTGAAGAAATTTTTAGTAAGAAAACAAAATGAACTTCTGTAAGTGTTGTAGGTGTATTGTGATGATGCAGGAAATCCTGTGAATTGCTGATGAGCCAGAATTTGTTCGCAGGAGTTAGAATACTGTGACCCATTATGGTTTTTTCATCATCATTCCAGCAAAACATTTCAATAACAGCTTGTTAAAGAGTCTTCCCTTAAGTGCTTATCTGAGGTGGTCAAAAGCCCTTACCTCTATTCAAATGTCAAATGAATGTTTGTTTGCTTTTTTAAGGTGTTTTAATCTGTATTACAGAGGATATCGTGTTCTCCATATGCTTGAACATTCTGTCTCTTCTTATAATTTAAAGTTCTTTTTGAAATCTGTTGATAGCAGACTGTCCCAGATTTCAAAAAGCAAAATGCACCATTTCTCCTCTTTTTAATATTTTGTTGACATAATTACTTGTATATGTTTTTGGTTGAAAAAAAGCTTTTACAAGATTGGAGTTCTGGTTTTGGTTGGAAATTCTTTGCTCTTTTGCTTAGTTTCAAAGATTCATTTTTAAGCATGGGTGGAATTACTAAGGAAATTATGTCATACTTATTACATGTTATTAATGTAGAAGTGTACAAGTGTTAGCATTTTCCTTAACTTCTTGGAAATTAAGAATTAAATTAATAGTTCAATTAATTGAATTTTACAGTAAGGGAATTGTGTAGGTTGATACAGAAAAATCTGTGCTGTCCTAAACTATAAACTGCTTTTCTACTTTGAAAACTTGGTTAGAACTTGATCTAGTTCATCTCTGAATACATATACAACACAGACGTTAAAGAAAAAATACCAAATATATCATATACCAGAAGTCTTCCTTGCAACCCCCCAGTCCAGTGATTTGTGACAAAAAAATGCGCGGATATACTACTGCAGAAGTCTGCCTTTAACGTGACTTACATTAGGAGTCCTGATACCCTTATGTTGGAGAGTTTCCAATAGGCATCTTGTTTGTGCAGTATCTTGACTAGGTTCTGGTAGAGGAGTTATGCCCCAAGCTTTTCTTCTAAGTTTGAGTTGACTTTGGCTAAGATCATTCTTTTCCTCACCTTGTAAAAATGTGAATCTTAAATATTTTGTTTGTTTGTTTAATTGCGTGGGGGGGGGGTTACAGTTATTCAGTGGTATAAAAGGTTTTATTAAAAAAAAATCACTAAGGAAATTCATGGGTACTGTAGTAAAGGTTTTAAGTCCTGTTGTCCTTCTCTATATCATCCCTGATTTGCTAAGCTCTGTTTTCTATCCATGTTTTAAGTTAGTGTTGCAGTCCAAAGCAGTAGTTGTCCTCTTTCTGGTCTTTTGGCACGTATTTGGTTGAGAAACAGCCTTGTAGAACTAAGCCAAATAAAACTAATGTATGAGGAAGGTTAACTTTAACCCAGAGGAGATTTTGGGTCTGGTTTATTAAGAGATGACACAAGCATTTGTGCTGGCACAAAAGAAAAGGCAATGTGTTACCAGGGGTGGAGGCTTGTGTCCTTAGGCTGCCTTGAAGTATGTAAGTATGACTTTAATGAACTGGCCTTGCTAAATTGCCCTGTAAACTTTTCACTAATGAGCAAGAAAGCTATGAGTAATGGAGTTCTTATTTAGGCTGACAGGAGATAGACATGAGGAGTATTTGAAATGGATTTTATTGTCAGTGAATCATTGAAGGAAAACGTAGAGACTTTCAGCAAGCAAACTAGCTGGGCTACTCATGATGTGCTAAAAGAAAAGCCATTTGAAGAATTCAGTTCAACAAAAGAATAGGAAAAGAAACAACTTATTTTTTATCTAGAGACACAATACAAAGATGTTTTTTTTCCCCCCTTGATTATGTTATTAGGTAGGTATTAGGTACTTAAACATGACTGAGCTGTAGAGAGGAAAAAAAGGTTCTACTGTAGTAAATATTATAGCTGGGAAAGCATGATAATTGGGAAAGCATGATAATACTTCTTGCTTTTTTTTTTTTTTTTTTTTTTTCCCAGTACAAAAATGGTACATATTTACTTCTCATGGCAAGCCATACTTGTCTGAATGTCTTCGGTTATTCTTTAGCTGCAATAACCCTTTTACTCAAACTTTAGATTTCATTTAAGATGATAAGAGACAACTGAAAACTTTTAATACCTTTCATGGTTGTCTGTGTTGGAACTGAAAATTCTGCCTGTCTATTCAATTGTCCTATCCATTCAATTATTGTATTTTAAGTGTAATAGTGTAGCTGCATCTAAAGTTTGGTTGCAAGACAGCTACTTTAAATGTGATGTGATAGGAAAAACAAGAAAACCCGTGAATATGTTTAGGCCCCCTCCTAAGTTAAGCACAACCCAGATTATCTTAATTTAGAGTATATTTCACTTGAAATACACTAGTTCAATAAACAAATTAGGAGTGTGGTCATTCTCTGCTGTTTCATTGCAAAAAATAGTTGGCTTAACTTCAGTCTGTCTTGGGCTGTTTTAGATAAAATTGTTCTGAGAACACTAACATCTTGAATTGATTTGGCTTTGTCCTAGGTAATCATGTAGTAATGTCTTTACTTAGCTGTCCTTCTTGCTAACCCTCTGCCACTGAATCTGTTGCATAATTTTGTTTTTTTTTTTGTCATTTACTATCTTATCTGAAGTTATCAAAATGAAGTGATTTGTGAGACATGATTTTGACAGGTTAAATTTTGAAATACAATCTTCCTAATTTTGAATTGCAAGTTTTATTTTTTGCTGCACTAAGATGGAAGGTTTATTTGTGATTACAGAAGAATGATAATACAGTTAATTTGTCATTTAGAAATTGGTTTTAAATGAAATTCCTTATGTTGAAAGATATTTTTTAAGTAAGGCTGTGATTGTATTATATAATTGCTCTGCAATTGCTAAGAAAACATGATGTCTCATTTGCAAAGTATTCCAACTTGTTCAAAGCTTTTTAAAAAAAACATATTAGCCAGTCAAGGGAAAGCCTTCTGTCTTAACTAGAATTAAGTACAGTTGACTGTTCAGATAACTTTGGTGTTAAGCAATCTGTGTACATGAAGTTAAAGACAGAGTAGTAATTCTTCACATTATAAAACTGAAAAGGAGAGAATGGTTACAAAATGGATTATACTTAACTGTCTAACTCAACATACACAGTGTAAAGATAGTCGAAGATTTTTCATTTTTAATTTAGCAAAAAACACTAAGAAGTGTCTTCTACTTGGTCTTAGCATTCATTATAGATACATTTCAGTATGTTTCAGTATATCCTTTCAGAACAGACGAAAGTTCAAGTAAACAATTTTGTTAACGATTCTATCTGTGACATGAATGGATATGGTTGTATTGCAGTGCTGATATATTCTTTGATCAGAATCATTGTGTTATGTACTGTACAAGCCTTCAAAGACTTTATTGCAGATAGAACAATAAACAAGAAATAAGGAAATGGAGAATGGCAGGAGTGGCTTGAGGGGAATCGTGGTATCCACTGATGTAACAGGCAAAAATCTCTGAATGGCCAGTTGTTTTGATAGGCATCATAGAGAAGAGTTTAAAAGAGAGTGATACATCAGTTTTGCACAATTTTATAGGGATCTTCAACCAAACCTGAAGGCAGCAGTGTTGGTATAATCTCAAAAGTTCACTTCGAGTTTAGGTAAACATTAGGTGGTGGAAGTAGGCTGGAAATCACATTGTGTACAAGTGCTGGCATCTTGATTGTGACTGAGAGCATGTGTAGACATGGACCACAGATATATTTGAAAGCAAAATAGTGCAGTTTATCTAAGCAAGCAATTGGAAAAAATAATATCATAGAGTAGTCTGTGGAGTTTGACCCTATTCTCTGTGATCAACAGGGAAAGCTGCTGGGGGGGAAAATAAACAATGGTTATTTTAGTCTGCTTATTGATGGCTAGCGAGTCATATATGATTGTGGCAAAAGACAGACTAAGAGTTTAGAACATAGAGATATTTGACTTGTATGGAGTTATACTTGTGTTTGTGAATCAGACTGCCAGAAGGTACAAAATGTAAAGATGACCTTCAGAGAACCTTGTAAAAATAGAGAGGAATAAATGGTGCTCCAAAGTTTGGTCACATTTGAAAAGGCAGTTACAGAGGTAGGAAGAGAATCAGTAGAGACCATGAGTAAAGAAATATTTCAAGATGATTATGGCTAACTTGGATAAGATGAGGAATTTTTTCTTTTCTTAGAGATGATCGAAGTGCTCTTAAAATGATGGAAGTGTGGGTAAAGTGGAACAGGGGAACAAATTCCAAACAAACTGCAAAGATTATGTATGTATTGTGATCAGAAGCAGAGGGTGTTGAGGAAGTACAAAACAGATTCAGAAATAGTACTTCTGGAATTAGATGAAAAATCATGAGATCTTTCAGTAATGGAGAAGAGAGATTTTTTCTTCAACCCTATTTTCTCTTAGTAAAAATAGGTCAGATTTTTTTGAAAAATCAAGATAGGTGAAAGCTGAAAAAGGAAATAAAAAGCTCAATAATGGTTCCAAAAGGATGTATTATAAAGTACATTATTTTGTAACTGTGAATTTTACACCTTCCTTTCTTAAATACTGTAATCACTGTGATAAAGATCTGGGAAAAAAAAAAGATTGTTTTTTTCTGTTTAGTACATTTAATTATTATGATATAAGGTTTAGCATTTCAAAAATTATTTTCATTATGAATAATTGCTTGCATTGGTTGACAGAAATTTCAAGACATTGAAGAAACGCATCTTCTTCATATGAAAGAGATTATAGAATCATTGTCAAATACCATAAAGGAAATTCATTTACAAATAGGAGAGGTAACTTTTATATTATCATTTGTTTATTTGGATTATGCTACATATACTTCCTAACTACTATGGAACATTCCTTACTGTGTTTGTATAACTCATGCTTGTGTAACTACAAGACTACATCTTTCAAATGGCAATAACTTTTAAAAATACATTAAGAAAGAGATAAATAGTAACAAAACACAGAATTTAAAAGACTTTGAAGCCGATTTGGTTCTTTTTACCACAGATATCAAATACTGTATCAGTGCTGAACTTGCTTATCAGAAGTTTGAAGATTTGAATATCTACTAAATAGCCATTTTGGTCTTCTCAGAAGTGTGCAATCTATTCTCTTATTTAAGCCTCTTTGATCCATTCAATAAAATTTATCAGCTCTGGTTTCGTTCACTGTATTGGAAATCTTTTTAATATCTAAATTCAATATGAGCCAAAAATTTTACTGCTTCCTGTTGCATTTATAAATTCAGTATCACAAATGCTAAAGTCTGAACAATCATTAAATTTTGTGCTAACAGAAAATAATGTCTTTTGACCATTTGAAGGATGTTTAGTGTATTTCAAAGCTCTGTTCATTAGATATTAAATTAACACTCATTTTACACATAATAGGGGTACTTCCTCTTTTCTTTAACTTAAATATAGAATTATATCGTCTGAAAAGTTTCAGAATTTCTGATAACACTGTTAGGGAAAGGCCTCTAGTAACAGTATTAAAAAAAGCTTTTGTAGTATCTTTTCTTCAGATGCAAGTTGGTCTAACTAATAATCCTGGTAAGTAGTCTTCAGTTTTCTTCATGTCTTGCGTTTTATTTGTGTATACTTTGAGTCACTTGTTTTCTTAGTTTTGAGGTTTTCTGCTGGTGAATGATGGTGACAAGGTTCACTCTACCTATTCCTAAAACATATTACTGCCTTGTTGGAAAAACTTCATATTAACGGCACGTTCCTTTGCCAGACCAAAACCATTACAACAGTAATGCTTTTACTCAAGCAGGTGGGAACTGTGATAATACAGTGGTAACTGTTCACACCCTTAACTGGTGCTGGCTTAAGGGGACAGTTTGTCTTCCTGACATCGTCGTGGGGCATGTTGTTGACAATTTCAGAAAAGCACATATAGAAAAGTAGTTTAGATAGAAGAAATGGAAGTAGATCATAGACATCAGTCTGTGTTCTTTCTTTCCTTGTTTGTATGTCTATTGTGTACACAATCACCAAAGCTAAAGCAATAAAAAGGGATTTGTTGATTTCTGGAAGTTAATATATCTTAGAGGGAAGAATTTTAAACTCTAGAGTTAAAAAAAACACTTTCTGAAGTTAATTAAATTTCTTTAATTACTGTTTTTTAAATTCCTGTTGTGTGTGGTATTTTGTTTTTTGAAGGTTCACGAAGAGTTTATTAATAACATGACAAATACTACAGTTGAGAGTTTAATACAGAAATTTGCTGAGTCAAAAGGAACTGGCAAGGAAAGACCTGGTAAGAGATTAAAAATAGAGGAGCAAATACTAATTTTAATACTGTAGATTTTCTCTCCTAATTAAAAGGCAAACCCTATTTGTTAATATGCTATTGTTGTAACATACTTAAAATTTCAAAATTCTCAGAATTCATTAGCTTTGATATTAAATGTTTCATAGAAATTTAACAACATACAATTTAGTTATTATGTATTTGTAGGACTTGTGTTCATAAAGCATAACAATTTCTAGCTCAGAGTCCTCCAATGTGGACTTCTGAGGAAGCTTTTAAACTATACTGTTCCTTGGGATGTTGGTGACGTTTGTCTAGAAAATGAAGTTCCTTGCACAAAACTACCTTTATTCAATGTGCTTCAGCACAAATTATATTTCCAAATTTAATACAAATTTAGAGATGTATTCAGAACAGGTGTCTGTAAAGCTGATTATAGAGTTGTTGTAACAGTTACATTGGTTTATTTGGTTAGCTTACAAAATCATGCTTTTTAATAGATTATATGTAGATTGTTTTGTTCTTTATCAGCAACGAATTTACAAGTACTTTCTGAAAGTACTGCTTGTTGGGTGTGTTACGTTTCCTGGACTGGCGTAAAAGGACAATCTCACATTACTATATATCTAACATTACAGGAAATATACAAAGTTGAGCTTAATATTCAGGCATGGGAACATGGTCACTAGATGTGTGAATGCAGAAGTTTGGTAGTACTGTTTTTCTTGGAGTGTGGAGTGTTGGGAGTCCTTGTTAGCATCTCTGCCTTATAGTATCAACGCATGTTTTTTTTTCAGAGCAAGGATGTACAGAGTAGCTTAGATCTTAAGCATTTATATTGAATTGTTAAATATGGTTCTTAAATATCTTACAATGCTTCTATGTTGTGTTTTTAAGATAACATTGTTACATATACATGTTACCCCCTCTACTGACCTCACAAGCAATGCCCCCCCCACCAACCCTACAGGCCCCGCCTTCCCAGGTGCCCTTACACAGCAGATTTGAGGCCCTGGAACTTGAGAGACTGGTTGAGGTAGAAAGTCTACACAAGAGTATGCCTAGGGCGAGGAAGTTGACTCCACGCTTCAAGACTGCCTCCACCAAGAAAGATAGAAGGGTGATTGCTGTAGGCGACTCCCTTCTCAGGGGAACAGAGGGCCCTATTTGTCGGCCTGACCCTACCCATAGCAAAGTCTGCTGCCTCCCTGGGGCCAGGGTCAGGGACATTGCCAGAAAGCTTCCCAACCTGGTTCGCCCCTCTGACTATTGTCCTCTTTTAATAGTTCAGACTGGCAGTGATGACACTGAAGAGAGAAGCCTGAAGACCATCAAATGGGACTTCAGGGAACTGGGACGGTTAGTGTATGGAGCAGGAGTACAGGTGGTGTTTTCGTCCATCCCTACAGTGGCAGGGAGGGGTGCATAGAGGACACGGAAAGCCAACCTGATAAACATGTGGCTCAGAGGCTGGTGCCAACACAGAAATTTTATTTTTTTTGACCATGGGGTGCTTTACTCAGCACCCGGCCTGATGGCCACAGACAGGTCCCTATCTCTAAGGGGAAAACGGATCCTGGGCCAGGAGCTGGCAGGGCTCATTGAAAGGGCTTTATACTAGGTAAGAAGGGAGATGTGGCTGAAATAAGACTTGTTGGAGGTTTGCCAGGGGGAATAATGTCTAGGCCAGGGGAGAAGACAATGGCCTAGCTGAAGTGCATCTACACCAATGCACGCAGCATGGGTAACAAACAGGAGGAGCTGGAACCCATCATGTGGCAGGCAGGCTACAACTTGGTTGCCATCACAGAGACATGGTGGGACCACTCTCATGACTGAAGTGCTGCAATATCTGGCTATAGGCTCTTCAGAAGGGACAGGCAGCACAGAAGGGGTGTGGTGTGACTCTCTATATCAGAGAGAGTTTTGATGTCATGGAACTTGCTGGGAATTATAAGGTTGACTCCCTTTGGGTTAGGATCAGCGGGGAGGCCAACAAGGGAAGCATCCAGGTGGGGGTCTGTTATAGACTGATGAACCAGGATGAGGAGACTGATGAGGAGTTCTACAGGCAGCTGGCAGAAGTTGTGAAATCATTGGCGCTTGTTCTCGTGGGGGACTTCAACTTCCCAGACATATCCTGGAAGCACAACACAGCCCAGAGAAAGCAGTCTAGGAGGTTTCTGGAGAGCGTGGAAGATAGCTTCCTGACGCAGCTGGTTAGTGAGCCTACCAGGGAATGTGCCCTGCAAGGCCTTCTGTTCACAAACAGAGAAGGACTGTTGGGAGATGTGGTGGTTGGAAACTGTCTTGGGCAGAGTGACCATGAAATGGTGGAGTTCTCCATTCTTGGCAAAGTCAGGAGAGGGACCAGTAAAACTTCAGTCTTGGACTTCCGTAGGGCTGACTTTGAGCTGCTCAGGACACTGGTTGGCAGAGTCCCTTGGGCGGCGGTTCTGAAGGGCAGAGGAGTCCAGGAAGGCTGGGCGCTCTTCAAGAGGGAAATCTTAATGGCGCAGGAGTGGACTGTCTGCACGTGCCCAAAGACGAGCCGGCACGGAAGACCATCCTGGCTGAACAGAGAATTGTGGCTTGAGCTTAGGAGAAAAAAGAGGGTTTATAATCTTTGGAAAAGAGGGCAGGCCACTAGGGAGGACTATAAGGATGTTGCGAGGCTGTGCAGGGACAAAATTAGAAAGGCCAAAGCTCATCTGGAGCTCAATCTGGCTACTGCCGGTAAAGATAACAAAAAACGTTTTTATAAATACATCAACACAAAAAGGAGGACTAAGGAGAATCTCCATCCTTTACTGGATGCGGGGGGAAACTTAGTTACAAGAGATGAGGAAAAGGTGGAGGTGCTTAATGCCTTCTTTGTCTCAGTCTTTAGTGGCAAGAGCAGTTGTTCTCCGGATACCCGGTACCCTGAGCTGGTGGAAGGGGATGGGGAGCAGAATGTGGCCCTCACTATCCATGAGGAAATGGTTGGCGACCTGCTACAGCACTTGGATGTACGCAAGTCGATGGGGCTGGATGGGATCCACCCGAGCGTACTGAGAGAACTGGCAGAGCAGCTGGCCAAGCCACTTTCCATCATTTATCAGCAGTCCTGGTCCTGGCTATCGGGGGAGGTCCCAGCTGACTGGCGGCTAGCAAACGTGACACCCATCTACAAGAACGGCTGGAGGACTGACCTGGGAAACTACAGGCCTGTCAGTTTGACCTCAGTGCCAGGGAAGCTCATGGAGCAGATCCTCTTGAGAGTCATCACGCAGCACTTGCAGGGCAAGCAGGCGATCAGGCCCAGTCAGCATGGGTTTATGAAAGGGAGGTCCTGCTTGACGAACCTGATCTCCTTCTATGACAAAGTGACGCGCTGGGTGGATGAGGGAAAGGCTGTGGATGTGGTCTACCTTGACTTCAGCAAGGCTTTTGACACTGCTCCCCACTGAATTCCCCTCAAGAAACTGGTTGGATAGCTGGGCCCAAAGAGTTGTGGTGAATGGAGTCAAATCGAGTTGGAGGCTGGTCACTAGTATCGTCCCCCAGGACTCAGTACTGGGGCCAGTCCTCTTTAAAATCTTTATCAATGATCTGCATTGGGGGATTGAGTGCACCCTCAGTAAGTTTGCAGACGACATCAAGTTAGGTGCATGTGTCGATCTGCTCGAGGATAGGAAGGCTCTGCAGGAGGATCTGGATAGGCTGCACCGATGGGCTGAGGCCAACTGCATGAAGTTTAACAAGGCCAAGTGCCGGGTCCTGCACCTGGGGCGCAATAACCCCAAGCAGAGCTACAGGCTGGGAGATGAGTGGTTGGAGAGCTGCCTGGCAGAGAAGGACCTGGGAGTATTGGTTGGTAGTCAGCTGAATATGAGCCAGCAGTGTGCTCAGGTGGCTGAGAAGGCCAACAGCATCCTGGCTTGTATCAGAAGCAGTGTGGCCAGCAGGGCTAGGGAGGTGATCGTCCCCCTGTACTCGGCTCTGGTGAGGCCGCACCTCGAGTACTGTGTTCAGTTCTGGGCCCCTCGCTACAAGAACGACGTGGAGGTGCTCAATCAAGTCCAGAGAAGGGTGACAAAGCTGGTGAGGGGTCTTGAGAACAATGCCTACGAGGAGCGGCTGAGGGAGCTGGGATTGTTCAGCCTGGAGAAAAGGAAGCTAAGGGGCGACCTTATCACACTCTATAGGTACCTCCTTAAAGGAGGCTGTAGTGAGGAGGGGTTTGGTCTGTTCTCCCACATGCCTGGTGACAGGACAAGGTGGAATGGGCTAAAGTTGCGCCAGGGGAGTTTTAGGTTAGATGTTTGGAAGAATTAAACCGAAAGGGTTGTTAGACATTGGAACAGGCTGCCCAGGGAAGTGGTGGAGTCACCATCCCTGGAAGTCTTTAAAAGACGTTTAGATGTAGAGCTCAGTGATATGGTTTAGTGGAGGACTGGTTAGTGTTAGGTCAGAGATTGGACTCTGTGATCTTGGAGGTCGCTTCCAACCTAGACGATTCTGTGATTCTGTGATATTCACTCTGTGATCTGCTAATGTTTGTACATGAGTGGGATGAGGCAAGATTGTGTATGGAACAATTGTCAGACTTTTCCAGTGTGTCTTACATTTTTTTGATAAAGAGGAAGAAAGAAAAAGTACACGCCTCAAGGATTCATGTTCAGTTGGACTGAATTCAGGATGAAGACAGGTGATAATTCAGTATTCAAGCCTCTTTGACTAGCTGTGGCCAAGATGTCACATGTAGGGGTGGCTGTCTTACATTCAGGATCCTGTCTCCCTGTGTTACAAAGACCTGTGCTAGTGTCTTCTAGAGCACTGTTTGTTTCAGGCAATACACTTTTTTCTTTTTTTTTTTTTTTGTTAGACAACATAGCAATCACAAGAAAAGTAGCACTTCACCTTTTAATTCAGTGGGAGAGGTTGTACACAATGTACTTATTTGCCTCTTTACAGATTTCGTCATATTCCATTTGTATTCTCTTGAGTCAAATAAAAACTTT